GGTGGGTGTACCTAAGAGCTGGGAGGACAGGGCCAGGTGGCGAAACAGACGCAGACTCTACAGGCCTCCTCCTTGCAGGACCAGGGGGTGGCGACTTCGCCTGTGCCCACCGGCCGAGTGATCCGTCATCAGGAGGACCCGGAGCTCTCCTTACAGGAAGCGCACCCTATGGGAGCCCAGGCTTGGGAGACCATGCTGCTGAGATCTGAGTATCTGAACTGACCGACCCATCACATCTATTCCGTTCTTATTCCAAAGTAGTTGTCTTCCTCATGACGAAGATGACAGAAGTAGGTCCGAGCAGGGAAGGTCTCTCTTTAAACTCACAAACTCCACCTCTCTGCGGCCAGACTGAGGTCTGCGGGCTCATGACGCCAACCCTGCAGCAGCAGCTTTGGAGGCTGGTTTTAGAACAGTGACCTGGGAACAGAACTGCTGTTGCCTGCCAGGCTCCTCGCAGCTCACCCTTCCGGGACCACCTTCACAGCGCACATCCAAAATGGGACTCTTAGTAACACCAGAATCTTAGAATTTCACGATGGGATTCATTCTTAGAATATTTGTTTTGCTGTAGATTATTTTAAGTGTGCACTTTCTGTGAGGTAAAGGTGCCCTCCCAGACGCTTTTCTCAAAGCTGGGACCAGTTTGTGCAGGTTTTTACATTGCACGGAAGGCACTTTTATATAAATCACACACAAGAGCATCGAGCTCAGGCACAGCTGTGGAGGTGCCATAATTCTACAGTGCACCCACCTATCTGACTAACCAAGGCGATGATTACTGTGTGACAGGACATCCCTAATCCAAGGAAACCACTGCTGTGTCCCTTTGTTCTTTTTAGTTATAAAAAGTTCCAATGAATGTGTCCCTTAGGGTCAAGCCAGCACTGAGTCTACCTCACGCTGACTTTCCCTAGATATTTTTATTGAAAAGATGATTATTAGTGGAAAAAAGGTAAAAGTGGAAAATCCCCCCAATGCTTGTACACAGGGGAAGCAACTGTCCTGCAATCGGACCTCCTCTGCTGTGGGTGGATTTTCATAACTGTCACCTGCACAGCTGACTGCTGGCATGTGAGCAGAGCTGTGCTGAGTGACAGTGAGAGGACTCCACAGTCCATCTGCGCAGCTGAAAAAACTCAGGGTGCGTGTCTGGTAGTGCTAACACCCGGTACATCTGCTGCAGGTTACTATCAGGGACCCAGTGCTGTGCTCCTGGTGTGTGGCCTGGGCCTGGGTGCGGTAGGCTGAGGATGTCAGTGAGGACGAACAGGAGCCACAGACACCTCACCTGCCCTCCCACACAGCTCTTCCGTGTCTCTGTCCTACAGTTGTCCAGTAACCCCAGGAAGCAGCTACCACCTCGTTTTCAGCTTAGAACACAAAGTGCTGTACACACCCGTGAGGGGCCCCGATGAACGTGACTTAGGGAAGCTCAAGTAACTTTCCCAGCAGTGCAAACCTGTGGAGGGAAAGCTGGGACTGCAGCCAGGTCAGGTTTAGTGCAGAGGTGGACCCACCTATCCCCCAAACCCCAGAACAGGAAGGACCCCCCAGCAGTGACACGACAGATGGGAAATCCATCGTCCTGCAGCTATGGAAGCAGATCCAAAGTGCAAGCAGGGCTTCCCGAGCCTGTTGCACTGACGTGCCTCATGCACCTCTAAGTCCGATGGCAGACCAGGCTCCTCAGATGTGACAACACAGAACGATCCTTTAGTGTCAGGGCTCTGCAAAGAGCTAGTGCTCAGGGACCAGGCACTGGACAGATGTGACGCAGCAACCGGCCCCAGGCTGCACCCAGAGCACGCACCTCGTGCGGGATGAAGGCTGGAAGCAGGAGCAACGCAGCAACTACAGCAAGGAGCCCAGGTTACCTGCACAAACAGGTAGATGAGGAGGCAGCACAGTGCTTGAAAGGGGCTCTCCACGGCCTGCAGGTCCTCCCGCGAGGAGGAGAGGTCGAAGCAGGCGAGGAGCGCATCCATCCGCCGCACCTGGGTTCCGGGCTCCTGGTCCAGCCACAGCAGTTTCAGACTAGGTGCTCCCCCTGGATGAAAAAGTCCACGAAGTCCAATAAGGTTATTCTTGCACCAGCAAGTTACAACATGCTTCTTCTAGAAAGACAATGAGAGAACCAAGGACATGAGCCTCTTCCCTGCTGACACCTCTGGGTTTTAAGGCTCAGAGGGACCAGAAGGCAAATGTCTGCAGAGCTCTGGGTTATAGGCTGTGTCCATGCACTGCACAGAAAACACCGTGCCTCTGTGCTCTGAGGGAACGGGGCTCTTCCTCCCTGCACTGTGCCCTGTGTGGTTAGGGATGCTTTCAGTGTATGTTTCCCAGGCAGCTACCCCCAGGTGGAAGCGAGGCCACAGCCACCTTAGGTGCTGGGTTGAGATACCAGCTCACCCTGTCCCTGTCCCCGACCCTGCACGGCAGCCTCCAAACTCCAGAGAGCAGCAGGACTGAAGCTGGGCGGTCCTGGTTCTGCTGCCATGGGGCCAAGAGATGTGCACTGGCTCCCGTGGACCCCACACTTCACAAGGGAAATCCCTAACGTAACTTTTAGCGCTTTATTTTTGTCTGTCATACATGCATTTACATTACTTAAACCAAAGAAAAGAACAACCCCTTGCTCATTTACTTAAATCACAGCAAATGGCCAGTGTGTGGACGAAGACACAGCACAGAGGTGCAGGCCACTCACAGGAAGAGCAGCCTCGCTTCAGCTCACTCGTAGGGAGCGTGCTTTTCCTTCCCTCTCCTTATCCATTTTAACCTCTTGTGAAAAGAAAACTTATTTTTCCAGTTAAAACAACTTTCCATTCACCAAATAAGGTTCCGTGGTGGGAGGAAGAGCCGATTCCAGCAGAAGAGCAAGACCTCACCCTGTGAATTCAGGGCCAGGCCCTGGGGTCAGTAGCAATGGGCGCCGACCTCGCCATCTGAGACCCATGAGTGAGCAGGACCCAGCAGCAGACTGGCCATGCAAGTCTGCGTGCGGCCTCCCTCTGTCGTGGGGATGGAGGCCTTCTCTGGGGCCCAGCTGAACTGGAAACAAGTGCAGGTGTAGTTCTGGGAATACATTTCCACATGAACCCGTGACTACACTCCTACCGCATGGTGAACAGGTTAGTAATCTGCTTAAACAAGGGCTGTCTGTACCTGGGATGTTCATCGGCAGAGGCCTGACGAGGTCTGGGTGCTTCAGCGGGTTCCCAGAGTACACAAACCACTCCTGGACAGGTGGGCAGCTGCCAGCGCCATCTGAGTAAAGACAGCTGGGTCAGCAAAGGTGCGCGAGGGCTGTTCGTCCCCAGACCCAACTCTGCCAGGGACCCATTCCAAGCCGGGGCAGCGGCTCCTCCACTCTGGAGCCAGATGCCTCCCCACTCTCCAGGCAGCCTACACTCCCCTCCACAGTCTGCTACAAAGGCAGGTAAAGAGCACCAGACCGGGTCTGTGGGTCCTGCCATCCACCCTTCACAAGTCACGGGCAACAGGGACAGGTAAGGTAACAGACCTCTGTCACAGAGGGCACAGGCCAGTGCACCGAGGCTAGAGAGGGTCAACGCTTACACAGAGTAAGTCTGGCAGCACCATCATGTCCGCACCCAAACCTAGACATTCAGATTCCCCTCCTCAGATGGCGCCAGCTTCCGCCCTTCCAAAACCCAGAGCCAGATGCAAAGTGTTGCCTGAGATCTCCTTCAAATAACAATAAACCGTTTCCCTGGGAAACCCTAGAGCTTGCCCGTTCACTTCAGAGGCTTTAATAGGCCATCACTTTGAAATTATAGCAGAAATGTTGCAGCAATTTGATTTGTCTGAACCAAGATAAAATAATCTTAATGCCTATATATTGAGAAAAAGAAAGAGGCAACAGAGCCTGGCAATTCCAGGAGAAAAGGCTGGTTTTCTCACTGGAACTCTTTTTTTTTTTCTTAAAATATATCTTTATTGATTTCAGAGAAAGGAAAGGAGAGGGAGAGAAAGAGAGAAACATCAATGATAAGAGAGTCATTGATCGAGCCCGCAACCCAGGTGTGTGCCCTGACCGGGAATCAAACCCCGATTGCCTGGATCCTAGGTCGGATGCTCAACGGCTGAGCCACACCCAGCAGGGCTGGAACTTTTGATTAGCTGGGCTGAGTTCAAAGAGTGAAACAAAGCCTGGAGGAGAAGCTCTTTGCTAGGGTTACTCTCCCTCATGCTGTAATGTCACCCATGGAGATGGAAGAATGGCCCAAATCTGCTCCTGTCATTCCCACCGGACAGGCACACGATGCCACTCCTCTCCCAATCTGGGTGTGTGGGCAGGGGGAGGAGTGTACGGGCCAGAAGAGAGCAAGAAGCGATGTGGACTTTAGCCTCTTGATTACTGGGATTTTCAAGTTTGTAACAATCCTCTAGGATTTAAAATTTTTTTTTTTTTTAATATCTTTATTGATTTCAGAGAGAGGAAAGGAGAGGGAGAGAGAGACAGAAACATCAATGATGAGAGAGGCATTGATCGAGCCCACAACCTGGGCATGTGCCCTGACGGAATCGAACCCTGATCGCCTGGATCCTAGGTTGACGCTCAACCGCTGAGCCACGCCCAGCTGGGCATTCCTCTAGGATTTTAAAAAACATATTTGTCATGCGAGGTACCAGCTCACACCTGTCAGAACGGCTGCCATCAACAAATCAACAAACGACTCGTGCTGGCGAGGGTGTGGAGAAAGGGGAGCCCTAGTGCACTGCTGGTGGGAATGCAGACGGGTGCAGCCACTGTGGAAAACAGTGTGGAGTTTCCTCAAAAAATTAAAAATGGAGCTTCCATTTGACCCAGTGATTCCACTTCTGGGAATATATTCTAAGAATCCTGAAACACTAATGAGAAAGAATATATGCACCCCTATGTTCACAGCAGCACAGTTTACAATAGCTAAGATCTAGAAACAGCCCAAGTGCCCATCAGGAGATGAGTAGATAAAAAAGCTGTGGTACATCTACACCATGGAAAGAAGGATCTCTTACCCTTTGACACAACATGGAGGGACCTGGAGAGTATTATCAGGGATGGGGAACATCTGGCCTAGAGGCCTTATAGGACTGTGAAACCACTTGATCTGGCCCTGCCAAGGCAACTGTAGGCAGGACTCAAAATTCAATAAATTTAGGAGTTCTCATAGCTAATTTTTAAGTTGATAATTTTGTATGGCCCTCAAATGATGTTATAAATATACAAACGGCCCTTAGCAGAAAAAAGGTTCCTCACCCCTATGCTAAGTGAAATAAGCCAAAGAAAGACGAGCATCGCATGGCCTCACTTACACATGGAAGGCAGGCTCACTGAACTGGAACACAGAGCAACAGGAGCTACCCAAGCTGAAGCTCAGAGAGAAAGAGGCTTAACAACCAGCCGGGGTACCCAAGGGCACTATGAGGGGTAAACTATACATGTACTTGATCGAAGGCCCAGAAGGAGAGGTTAGAGAGACAAAGACAGAAAAAAGTATTTGATAAAGTAACACTCAATTTTTCCCCAAACTTGACAGGAAATATAAACTCACAGATCCAAGAAGTTCAGGAATCTCATGTGCAATAAACACAGAGAAAGCCACTCTGACACTCAACTTAAACTGCTGGAAACTGTGGTGAACAGAAAAGCCTTATAGATGGTTGGAGGAAAACACCCTCGTGACACATGGGGGACCACAGTAAGAAGGGCCACTGCCACCTAATGAGAAACAATACAAGCTGGATATCCCATGACATGTTTAAAGTGCTAAACAAAAAATTACCTAGAATTCTATATCCAGCAACATTATAATTCTGAAGTAAAGGTATCTGCAGGAACACAACTCAGAGAAATACGATGAGCACCACAAGAAATGTAAAAGCAAGTTCTTTCCTGGAGAAAGAGAATCCTAAAGGAAACTTGGATGTACACAAATAAATTAAGAAACCAAAAATGCTGCCCTGAATGTAGATGACTTTTTCTCATTCATTAATTCCCTTAAACGGCAAGTGGCTGCTTAAAGTAAGAGCTGGGAGGTATAGCCCATGAGCCAAATCTGGCCTGTTTATTTTCACAGTCTGAAAGCTAGCAATGCTTTTCACATTATTTTAAATGACTGAAAATTAGCAAAAGACTACTCTGCGACACAGGAAGATCACCCAGAATTCAGATTCTGTGACACGGGAAACCAGACAAAGCCTCACTGGACACAGCCACGCTCTGCCGCTGGCCCACTGTCTGTGGCTACTCTCACGACAGCAGCCGGGCGCAGTGCTGGTTACAGAGTCTGGGGGGACCTCCAAGCCTGAAATCCTTGTTATAGTGACCCTCACAGAAAAAGCTTGCCAACCCCTAGTTTAAAGTAAAAATAAGAATTGTGTATTAGGGGGTTTAAAATAAATGCATAATCTCAAAAAATTATGTACTGTATGTTTCCATTTACGTAACAGTTTCAAAATGACCAAAATATAGACACAGAGGACAAATAAGCGGCTGAAGGGGACAGAAGGCAGCACACAGAGGGGCAGCCCCAGGGCGTTCCTGGTGATGGACCAGTTCTGTATCTCAACATGGGTACAATGGGATAGAACTAGACACAAAGGAACGTAAAAACGGGCGGGAAGCGACTAAGGTCTGCAGTCCAGTTAACAGCACTGTACCAGTGTCGATTTCCTGCCTTATGCTGTACTTGACTACATAGGACATCATCTCTGGGGAAAACCAGGCGTTGGCTACATAGAACTCAACGTACTGTTGCTGCAACTCCTGTGAGTGTATAATTATTTCAAAATAAAAAAGTTTTAAAAATATACAGAAGATATTAGGCCAACATTAGCAAAAATGATAGAAACAGTGAAAGTAGAGCACTGTAGGTTTTCACGTTATACATAACATGGTAGAACAATACGGGAAGGCACGGTGGTAATTTAAAGATGAATATTATGAACCCTAGAGCAACTGCTATAAAAACACAAGTAAATCTAACAATCCCAAAGAAAATATAAAACAAAATAAAAATTATTCATTTGATCCAAAAGAAGTCAGAAAAGGTGTATATAAGGGGGGGCGGGGGACACACACAGTGAAGAGCAAAATGGAAGACTTAAACCCAATAATGCCGACGATTACATTAAAAGTAAAAGGTCTAAACATTCTAATTAAAAGACAGAGATTGTCAGACAATATGCTGCTTAAAAGAAGTGTACTTCAAATATAAAGAAATGTTTTAAAGGTAAGAGGATAGAACAAGGATATACCATGCAAACACTAATCATAAGAAGACTAGAGTGCACAAGTGAGTCTCAGACAAAGCCAACTTCAAGACAAGGAACATTACCAGATTTTTAAAAAGGGAAATCTCATAATGTTAAAAGGGTCAATTAATTAAGAAACATAAAACAATCCTTAATATATATGCACCTAACAACAGAACTAAATTATCTGAAGCAAAAACTAACAAAACTGAAAGTATAGCCCAGCCAGGAATGGCTCAACAGCTAAACATAGACCTAGGATCCAGGAGATTGTGGTTCGGTTCCCAGTCAGGGCACATCACATGCCCAGGTTGCGGGCTTGATCCCTAGTCATGGGCGTGCAGGAGGCAGCCGATCAATGCTGGCTCTCTCATCATTGATATTTCTCTCTCTCCCTCTCCCTTCCTCTCTGAAATCAATAAAGATGTATCGGAGGGGAAAAAACCCAAAAAAACCTGCCCCAAAACTTAAAGTATAAATAAAAATATCTACAATAACAGATGAAGACTTAAACACTCTTTTCTCAAGAACTAAGAACAAGCCAATGGAAACTTGGTAGACGACTTGAATAGCCTATTCTCATGCCTGATATTTCTAGAACACTCCACTCAACAACTGCAGCATAGACATAATTTTCAAGTACACAAGGAATGATAAGCTAAGCCAAGCAGATAAGACCGATAATGCTTCATTATCATTACCATGAATAAACCAGCAATAGCAGCATTTTATTTTCACATCCTAATAACGTAAACTTCATGCAGAAATCCAAAAAGTTAAGGAAAAGGAAGTTAAAGATCAATTGTGAAGACAAGTTCAATTAAAGCAATGTTTCCTGTTATTATGGCTTTCTAATGAAGTTATCTATATGAGTGCAAATAAAGGACATTAACAAAATATGAAGTTTAAATTAGTCAAGTTTATGTGTTTTAACCTCATTTAATGAAATACAGCTGAACCCTGAACAACATGAGTTTGAGCTGCAGAGGTCCACTTATACGCAGATTTTAGTAAGTGGACCTGTGCAGTTCAAACCCCTAATTTTCAAGGAATCTGAGGATGCAGAGGGCCAACTGTAGTTGTATGTGAATTTCTGACTCAGTGTGGGGGTTGATGCCCCTAACCCCTATATTGTCTTGTTCAAGGGTGAACTGTACTCTAAAAACAATTCCAGGCAAATATCCTACAATGTAAACTTTTTTCATGATGAAAATATCTTTTTTAATCATTAGTCAATGTGCAATCATTCATGTTCAGAAAGAATATGGGCAGAGAGCCAGCCATATAAGAAAAAAATTAACAATATTTGGTCCCAAAGTTTATTACATAGGCTCTGTTTCTGTTTTTAAATCAGCTTCTCTCTCATCACCTCTCACATCAGACATGTGCAGTCAGCCTGTCTCAGGTGAGCAAGGCAACAGATTACTACCTGCATTAAGCACCACTAGTCTCTATGAGGAAGTGCTCTTCTCCTTCCCTCACTCCCCCAAACTACTCCTCAGAGAGGGTTAGGGGCCTGATGGACTCTGTACTTGGTGTTAAAGGTGTTCCCAGGCCACTGCTCTGGCCACTGATATCCTCTCCCTATACTCTCGCTGCTACTACACAATCGACATAGAGATGGGAAGACACATAAATTTAATTACAAACACCCTAAAGGAAAATTGTTTATATTTTAAAACATGATGTTCTACATTTTATAAAATTATTTTAAGAAAATCCTATTTTGAGGGAGAGTAAGTAGACAGTGTCTGCTAATAATAAACATACCAACACTTCTGCAGGAGAAAAGGGTTTTCATCCTTTAAAAAACCAAAAGCACGAGTCCTTTTAAGGTATAGAAATATAACATTTTATAGAAAAAATGTTCTGACTGCTGACCAACTGTTGCTGATTATACACAGACGCCCGTGGCCGTTCTCTGACTTTATACAGATGTCAGTGATATTCTCACTACAGATTTTGCTGAAGAGTAAACCCTATTTAATTGCATCTGTGGCCTTATCTGGCCAGTGTCAGAAATCACCTGCGCCCTGCGTCATCATGAGGACTCACCTTGGCCTTCGGCTAGCAGTAGGGAGTAGACGCGCTGCCGCACCGGGCGGTAGACGAAGGCCTGGCTGGGCAGGGCCTGGTCCAGTGCGTCCTCCAAGGTGTTGCTACACTCGATCTCCCCGTTGGCCATGATGTTGTACACCAGGTAGCTCTCTGCCTGGACGTGACGGGCCCTAGCAATCTGTGCAAAATTTAGACATGATGGATTTCTCTTTGCAAACAAAAGAACGTTTGACTAGAAAAAGTCAGCACTTTTTTGTCACACACGGGTGCTCTTCAGGCACACAGCGAGGAATACCTGTCCCCCAAACTCGAGCTGATGCCTGTGTTTCCTGTCCTCTGGGTTTTTAGCTGAGAGCTTTCTACTGCTCCCTGTCCTCCAGCACCCAAGCACCCACCAGACTCACTGACTCCAAATCAGTCCTCTGTCCACCCAGGAGTAAGGACTCTGGGAAAAGCTGTGCTGGACCTGCCCCAGACCAGTCTCTCACCTCTCCACCATCCGCAAACACAGCCCCAACCACTGCCCTCCTTTAAGCGTCTGCGCAGCTGCCACAAATCCTTCACACTAACAGTCAGGGCCCCTTTACAACAATGGCCTCAATCCCTTCCCGGGACACACCTCCTGGCCTCAGAGAACCTGCGATCACCAGTCACAGTGCATACCTGCAGTGCTCCTACAATGCTCGACCCTCTCCCACCTGCACCTGTGCTTCATAAAATCTCTCCCAGTCCTCCTAGCCTCCCACTTCACCAGCCCCTTTCCCTTGAGGGCTAACCTCAAGTGTCACCCTCTCCATAAACCCTCTGCTCCCCTCCTCATGGGGCTCGACTCACATTGACCCTGCAGAGTTCATCTTGTCTGATCTCTCCACTAAATACAAACCCCTTGGAAGGAGAAACTGTGTCACACCCACTCCTTTGCTCAGTAATTTCTTACTGAGTGAAAACCACGTGTTGAGCACTCGTCTGTACCTGCCTTGCCACGCCTGAGCACGTGGTAGGTGAGGAGATGTATGATTTTAATGATTTCACTTTCTCATTAAATAAGAACTTAAAACCAGAAGGGCTACAATAACCTACAAATAAGTTTTATTTTCCTGTGAAGGACATTCTTATCACTGCAGGATAATCATCTACATTACCACCCAAAATTTAAATCCAAACAGTCTACAGCTAACGGCATTTAAAATGTGGCATCAGGACCACTTGAAATATCAAAAACTCCATGAATCACTGTCTCATTACTTACACACACTGGCTACGTTGACTCATTACTGCAGACATGTCTTCACCTCCTTACCCCTCCCTTTCTTCATACATAATTCAGGGCTAATGAAAGTGCCAACCTCAAGACTACTGAGGACTGTAGGAGGTGACACATCAAACACACCTGGCTGGCTAGCACTCGCTGACATCCTAAGGCTAGAAGACTACCAACATGTCTACTTCAATTGCTAAAGTGTCTTCAAATCAAGAAAGTGGGCAGGCCAGCAGCTTTACGGTAAGGTTGAAAAGAAAAAGTTTTTAAGGAGTTCCTACCCGATACTCTAACCAATGAAGATGGTCAGTGACCTGTTTCCCTATGTGCTCTTCTGACAGAATCCATCAGAAACGTCACAGTTGTATCTCACGACCCTCCTAAGGCAAGAGCTTCTAACACATTCCTATTCCCCCTCCCACTTCTGATTCTTTTTATTTCAAATGAATTGGTACTCTGACAGATTTATCCAGACAGTTGTATTTACTCTACCAAGAAATCTTAAATTTTGGCAACTCTACAGTCTTTGCCTGTATGAAGCACACACGTCAGCCCCATTAAGGTCTGGCTCCACTTCTACCTCTTCAGGAGCTTCTCTCTGTATCTTAACCCACAAGGACCTCTCTCCTTCAAGTCTCCAGAGCTCTCTTCTGTAAGTCAAGTGACAGTGTCAACCATGGTTTACAATGTGAGTTCTCGTGGCTTATGTCAAACTTCCTAACTAAACTCCTAGGGTCCTGCTCTGTGTCCCCACAGCACCTTATCCACTGTAGGTGGTCAATATTCACTGACACGCCCCTCAATGGATACATTTTCCACCAGGACATATTAGGTGTGGGCGGGCTTCTCTACATACCTTTAAGATTTCAGCGTCTGAAACCACGGTTACTTGTTGCTTGATTTCAGGCTCCATATTCATGGGGTCTTCTTGCTTGGGTTCAGGGTCTGTACACACAGGAGCTTCTTGCTTGGATTCAGGGTCTGAACTCACAGGACTTTCTTGCTTGGATTCAGGGTCTGTACACAAGGCAACTTCTTGCTTGGATTCAGGGTCTGAACTCACCGGACTTTCTTGCTTGGATTCAGGGTCTGTACACATGGGACTTTCTTGCTTGGATTCGGCGTCTGAACTCATTGGACTTTCTTGCTTGGATTCCGGGTCTGTACACATGGGACTTTCTTGCTTGGACTCAGGGTCTGAACTCACAGATACTTGCTTGTCCACTGTTATAACTCTGGCTTTTTGGGAAATCCATGGAGATTTCTGTCCTGGCAAAAGATATGATTCCATCCCCCTATAAATGAGAGCTTTGTTTGGTCCCAAAGGTAACATCTCTTCTAGCTTTTTCTCACCTTGATGTAAACGAAGAACTTTGGATATGTGGTCTGCTACAGCTAAGATGACGTTGCCTTTTTTGTCACAGTTCTCTTTTATAGAGGTATAGGAGGACAAGCACTTGTACCGAAACGTCTCAAACACGCCTTCCGGGACGATGTCATTGCCCAGCAGGCAGGCCAGAAGAGGAAGGTCTGCCAGGTGGAGATCCAGACTCTCACACAGCTTCTCCCTGCAGAGCATGATGGTACTGAGACTGTCCAGGCAGAGCTCGCTGATTGAAAAGTAGGGGCAGGTGTCATAAATCAAATAGTCGGTGTCTTCTCCGAGAATCCCTAGACAGTTGTGCCGGAGGCCATAGGCAGCCACCTCATAGTCAGCCTCCTGTAGGGAACACCGAGTTTCTTGGCCCAGCGCCTTCAGGGCGCACCGTGTGAACACGGCCAGCCCCGGAGGGATGAGGAACATGCTCCTGCCGGGCTGCGCCCCATGTGCCTTGATGTAGCGGAAAACTCTGGCTGCCTCCCTGTTGTTCTTCAGCCTCCGTGCCACCCAAGCCTCTCTCTTGTCCTTCTCTACCATGCCATCAAAGAAGAACACCAGCCTGATGCCGGCAGCGGTAAACATGCCAACAAAATCTCGCAAAACAGCAAAGTATTCTTTCCACTGGCCGCCGCACACCCAGGACTCGGGCGTGTACCAGTACCTGAGACAGCACATGGCGTCCACCACGACAGTGGGAGGGCACTCAGGGTGCTTGCTTCGGTGCTGCTCGGCCAGCTCTCTGAAACTTACTACTGTACACACATGAGGGCAGCTGCTTCCCACGAACCCCTGCAAGCCTCTCACACCCATGACTGAACCGGAAGATCTGGAAAGGAAATCGGTCATTATGGCATCTGACAAAACACATACACGACAACGCGATATCCATTCTCTACCCGGGCCTAGAGTTTCCATGAAGATGCGTGAGGAACTCCAGCCAAATATACGTTTCAGTTTGACCTTCCAAGGACAACAGAGTATAGCACCTTTTAAGATTTTAAACTAAGACTATTATTCAAGAGATTTCCCAATTGGATTCAAAACAGGTAACAGTTTTCAAAGAAGTAGTATTTCCCAGTTACGAACCCAAATAAAAGTTAACTCTGAAAACCTAAAACATAAACCGGTATTTCTCAAAATAATTTTGTTGAGTTAAAGAAGCCAGGCCAAAAAAAAAAAGTACACATTGTTTGATTCCATTTGTATAAAATTCTAGCTCATTGAGAGCTGAGCTGATTTGTAGTGACAGAGAACATATCAGGGGTTATCTGGGTGAGGGCAGGCAGGAGGGTCAGATTTGCAAAGGGGAGACTTTTGGGGTTAAAAAGAGAACTAGCTGACCCTGAACAACATGGGTATCAGGGGGTGCTGCCTATCTATACAGTCAAAAATCTATGTATAAGTTAGGTGAACTTTGCGCATGCACGGATCCCCAACTTCAGGTCAAAAATACAGTACATAAAAGTTCACTACAGCAAATGTTTGTAACATCTGAGACGGTAACTGACTTTGAATGGAAAACTGCCCTTTCTAAAATGTGAAAAATTCAAGATAGAGTTTAGAGTTAGAACTCAACATCTGAAAAAAAATCTAAGCAGAGTACTCGATACTAAGACATCTTTCCATAATAAAAGATGTGACAGGAGACATTACTTGAGGTGGTAACAACATCCCCCAACGGTCAGAAAAACTCAATTACGACATCTTGTACCTTAACTGCCTGTTCTTTTCACTTTGGTTTTCTTTAAGTTGTCAGGGCGGAGTGTCCTTTGATAAAACAAAACAAAAAATCCTCATTATGCAAAAGCAACACAAGAACACAGGAGCCTCTTGTGGACTGAGGACTGAGTGCAGCAACCATCAGAGGCTGAAGCCCATTCGCTGGCAACAGCTCCCTCGTTGCAGGGAGCTCACTCCCAGCAGAGACACTGCGCACTCCACACAAAAACCTTGTCTCTACAATGACCGACAGGTAAACATCTGTAACTCCATGTCACAGATAAGAAGCGGTGGGCACTGCACAGGGTGTCCTGTGAGAACTGCCTGTTAATGAACACTGGCCCCATCAGGATTTGACGTTGCCTGTTTAAGAGCCATTAAGTGAAAAATATATAAAAGTTGAGTGGACATAAGTAACACATTTGTTGAAATGTAGAGAACTCTTATTCGTTTAGTTATTAAATATAACAGAACACACGGATCCACACACCTGTGTGGATCCCTAGGATGGTGTTTATCTTGGGAACATACTAAGGTATGTGACTTCTGAGGATTATCTCAACTATGAGGTGGTTGCCATTTGGACCTCCAGGCATGGGTCCTAGTTTAGGAAGGCTACATGTTTCTGAAACAGAGGGTTTTTTTTTTATGACATTCCAAAGGTAGGTGGGTACAGGTCTGGACAGGGTGTAAAAGGAGGGAAGCAAAACTAAATGTTACAAGCTGTGTGACTTGGTTTCCCTTCTTTCACCAGGCTCCAAGCTGGGTTCTGTGGACCCCTCTCCCAAGCCCACCAGCAGCCAGTGGGAGCACAGAACCTGCTCTCACCCCCAGCCCTACAAGCTGGGCCCCCATCTGTGCAGTGGCCTCACCACGTTGGGTCTGGCTGCCTTCCTTCACCAACAAAAAGGATTTTTCTTTCAGGCATTTTTCTACTAAAACTGCAAGTGACAACGCTGAGCTTCCCCAAACATTCTCCTTTATTTTACAAGGAATCAGGCTCAGCTCTGCTTTGATTTCATTCAAATGTTTTTCCTCCTTTTTTACCCCAGCAATGAAAGCTCACTATTTTGATTAAATACGCACTGGTGTTTCCTGCCTTTCACGCTGCCAATCTCTCCCATTTTGAATCACAAACTACATCCGGAATGTTACCTCACAATGTGCTCTTCTACTGCATTTGCAAAGAAAAATTCGGACACAAAGACCTGGAACCTGTGACAGCAGAGGGACCCTCCACTCAGCTCAACATGCTCAGCACCACACCACCCACCCGTCAATGTAGGCAGCATGGTGGGAAACAAGTGTTCTGAAAGATAATTCTGTGGCCTTGGCCGGGTGGCCTGGTTGATTGGAGCATTGTCCGTACACCAAAAGGTTGCAGGTCCGATCCCTGGTCGAGGCAAACAATTGATGTTTCTCTCTCTCCCTTCCTCTCTCTAAAATCAAAACATATCCTTGGCTGAGGCTTAAAAAAATTTTTTTAAAAAAGATAATTTTATGGACATTACCTTTTTAAACAATTTTTTTGTTTGTTTTACAAGCCTTTTATTGGCAAGAGCAATACTGAGGTTTTTCATCATCTACCTTCAGGTAGTTTTAAAGACGATTCCACATATATAGAATTTATTCTACCTGTAAATTACACAGAAATTTTGTTGTCTAGAAAGAAAACAAGCCATGTTTCATTTGGTAGGAGTCTTATAGCCCAAAATACAGCCTGGGAAACCAGTCCCACGGGTGTGAGCCCCTCTGGGGCAGAGGCCACTCTGTCACATCCCCAAACCCAGCAGTGTCTGCCACTCGAGGGGCCAGTAATTGTGGAAGAATAAATGAAGGCATCAAAGGGCAGGTGCGTAAGGAGAAATCAGGAATCACCAAGTGCACAGACTCCAAGTATGGGTCGAGGAGTAAGCAGCAGAGCTGTGCCCTCAGGCAGCACCAGTGCAGGACATTTCACGGAGCCGCCAGCAGGGACATGGGAGCACGCTGCCCCAGAGGCAGCCTCCCCACCAGGAAGGGCTCCATCGTCCTCACAGCCAGATCAATCCCAGGCGCTGGCCACCAGCAACAGGAAGTGGACAGAAGAAAGCCCAGTCCAGAAGCCCCTTTATTCAGTCTCTCAGAGGATAGAGAATGGACTGGCGTGCCTCAGAAAAAACACATCAGCCCTACCTGCCACCAGCAGGAGAGGTCAGACTACACATCCAGAGCCACTCCAGACACGGGGACAAATGGACCTATGGACAGCCATGGGGACAGATCCCATGTGCAGAGCAGCACTTGCAGGAGCACCAGTACCAGTGGTTGCAGCCACCTTCGGATATGGCCAGCATCCCAACAGTGTCAGGGCACCCACCACCCATGCAAAGGGACCTGAAGAGCTGGAGTTGACTAAAACAAGCTTTCTACAGTTGGAGACAAAGCAGGTTTGTGTCCCACAGAACAATAAAACCATAACCTTAGATTTATCCCTGCAAGACAAAAATCTACAAATAGCACGCAACACCAGCGTTTGGGTTCTGATCTGAGTGGAGAGCAAATTTAGAGCTACACCCTGTGAGAGTGGAACAGTGTCAGTGGATCTGCTAATCGGAGGCTGGAGGACAGGGACAGACCATGCAGTCCTTTGTTCCGTGCTTGTTTGAGACTTCAATGGTCACGTGCCTGCTGGGCCTGGGTCCTCTCAGTGAGGCCCCCCATGGCTGATGTGGGATATCTGAAGTCTGCTCCTTCTCTCCTTTCCTCCCCTCACCCCCAAAAAACAAACAAACAAAAAAACACAACTTATGGGAACCCCGTACAGAAGAGAGAGAACAGGGATGAGGATTCCAAGGTTTATCCCACAGCAGCACATGGGACAGTGTTAGATAGACGTCTACTGAGTACTTATGGATCCAGACAACCAGGCGAGTAAGTAAACTAAGGGTAGCTGCCACTCAGGTGGTCTCCACCTGTCAGGGCTGCCACACAGGCTTATCCAGCAGACACCCTCCTGTACCAACGTCAAGCAGGCTCCTCTGGGCCCTCTTCTCCACAAGGCTGCGATCTTAGGCTTCCTGCTCATCTCTGCAGAGGCCAGTTTTACCAAGAATCCTGCTGTCAGTTTAGAGAATCCCCCAACCCCGACATCTGATCAAACTCCTCAGTCCCTGCCCCGATTCTTGTTGATCCCTCACTCTGTCTGTTGGCTATAACCCTCCCCCCCCACCCCTCCCCCCAATGGCAAGTCTTGAATAAAGTCCTCCTTACTGTTTTACATGTCAGAATAAGAAGCTTACTCAACCAAGAATCAAGCCTATAGCTATCAGGATCCACTTTACTACACCTAGGTATACACGTCCAGACTCAGGGTGCCCTGGAGGACCCCCACAAATCTGGCCATGACCCCTGGTGCTGAGTCAGAAAACCAGAGCAAGGCTGATGCAGACGCTCAGTAGCTGTCAGCAGATGCCTGTGCGCTGTCTCTAAGAGGAGGCAGGCGCGGGGCAGGTCTGATGACGAAAGGAAAGGCTCCAGAATCAAACTAGAGTCAAACTCAAACCTCTGCTTTCTTGCAATGAAACTCTCAGCAAGTCACCTCATTCTATAAGCTTCGTTTCTCTTATCTGCAAAGTGAGCTTTACACAACCTACTTCATAAATTGGTGTGACGTACTTTCATTTAGATTATAAATTTATTCATCAAACACTTCTCATCAATTACCTAAAGCTTAATAAAATCTGCCCAGCACCAGTCCAAAATTCTTAAATTATCTCAAAATTTAAAACAAAGCCATATAAATATGAGGGTTTACTATACTTACGACTTTTATAAACTAGATTACTTTTTAATATTGGAAATATATTTGTAAAATTTTTTTCTGACTAAAACAGTAGCCATGAAAAATAAATTAACCATGCTCTTTGCAGAAAATCATAGAACAGAGAAACAAACTACTCACCTTTCAAAGATAAGGGCTACAATAAATATTTTAGAGTATGTATTTCTAGTTGTTATAAAAAGTGCGACCATACTACTCTATAATCTACTTTGTGACTTAATTTATTACGATATACGTGTTCCCAAGTCAGGACGTTGACCTTGTATCGTGTAACTTTTAATGGGTGCACAATGTGGATGTGAAGTGAGCTCTGAACCCCACTGCGGAATGTTTAAGTTATTTCCTATACTGTACGCCATAAGAATGTGACTCACATCCACGCATAAAAACCTTTGAGCACATCCTGGGTCATCTCCTTGAGATGAGTCTTAGACGGGAAACTGCTGAGGCAAAGTACACAGGCTGTCCATCTGCAGCTGTAACTCGTTAGCACTCAGCTCGCCTCAACACTACCCAGGTAGTCTTTTCTGAACATAATTAGTCAGCCAGTAGCTTTGAGGTAGACACTACAGTAGACACGAGCCATGAACATGACAGACAGCCCTGCCCTCAGCACCTTACACTCCAGCAGGAAAATGTCCAACAGGCAACGAGCACTTGGGCTTAACTGTAGGACAGAGAAGGGCAGAGAGCGTGAATGTGGCGGGGAGTGGGGGGACGACACAGCAGAAGATCCTGCGCAGGTTGGGGACCCACAATGGCCGTCCTGAGTGGCCGATAGAGGCGGAGAGTAGGTGGACAGCAGGCATGAAGCAAGAGTGGTAAGGGGTAAATTCTTTTAAGTCCAGGTTCCTTTTTATTATTAAGTGGATATTTCTAAGGTGCTTAAAACAACTGTTCTATTAACTAGTTCAACCTGCAACTTTATGTTCCTCAAACATGGAAAATAGAAAAAAATAACCCCAAATGCTAAGTATGGCTAGAACCTCTGCTTTAAGGGAGGTAGAGTGATCTGAGGCTGCAGTAGGCAGGGCCAGACAGCAAAAGAGTGTGCAAACCACACATGCATTTACACTTCATCAGAAGGGATGTCAGATGTCGGTCAAAGCTCTTAAGCACGTGCATTTTAGAAACATGGCCCTGCCTATGTCCTGGAGAATGGAGGCAGGCAAGCAAGCCTGGAGATAAATGAGGGGCTCTCATGGGCGGTTGTTCTGGCCGCCCAGTATCTCACACTCTCCCTATTTTGGAAGAATCTCAAGAGTAGAAAGATACAGAACCCTATTTCCTACTGCCAAAGACTAAAGAGAGTAAAGAGACTATATTCTGGTCCTCCAAATAAACCAAAGGCATGAGACCCACATGTCCACATGTGCTCAATAAACACTCATCTAGAGTTTACTATGCTCCAGGCCCCGTGCTAGTAGTTGTGGACACAGCAGTGAACAAGACAAAGTCCCTGTCTAACATCTGGATCTTTAAAGAGGGAAGCAAAGGCTCAGGGTCGTTAAGGAAAAAAGAAACATGGGGGGGGGTGCATATGTCAAAACCCATAAGATTGTAAAAAGTCTGTTCTATAAATTTTCTACAAGAACATGGCTACTTTTTAAATCAGAAAGCCCCATAGCAAACATCCCCTCTGGTCCCTCTGGCACAGTATCAGTTTTGTTCAGACTCTTGGAAAAGACACATCTGCCAGCAAAGGCAGGAAGAACTGGGCAGCTGCCAGCAGTGTGTGTTGCATGAAGTGACCTGCCCGAGGTCACAGACAGTAACAGTAAAGCTGGGACTGGAACCCATGTGCCTCCAAAGCCTGTGTTCCTTTCACTGGGACACGCCCCCACCCAACACTTTGCATTTCACTCCAGAGATGTGTCCTTCCCGACGGTCCTCCCAGTCCCTGGGGCCCTCACAAAATTTCTGATCCCACCCAATCTAAGGGGCAACCCAGATGCGGGCCCCTGGGGCTCCCCACCCACTGCAGCTCGCGACCACCCCTCAGAGGCAATGAAACACAACCAGTGTCACAGAAGAGGGAACTGTGTGCAGACCTGTAAAAACTGGGGCCTCATTTATGCAGAATTCAGGATAAGAACCTAATATACATTTTTAAATTCACGAGTCAAAGCTAAAACGGCATCCTCCTCGGAGGCTCCCTCAGGCTCTGACTTACCATCTAGGGGCTGTTTTCTGCTCGCCTCCAACGACTCGCTGCTGTGCCCCGCAGAGCACGGGAAGGGCGCTGAGGCGGGCGCGGCCCGACGCGCACCTGAGAAGCGAAAGGGCAGGAGCGCTTAAAAATAGGGAAGATGAGACATGACCCCTCCAGCTCACAGGGAAAGGGCCCGAGGCCCGGCGCCTGGAACCATCCTCTCCCCCAACGTGCCCACGGCCTCAGGCCCCGACACCCCGTCCTTCCCGCGACGGGGACACGGCGCCCTCGGGGGAAGCTCCCGGCCGGCGGCGAGCCCGCGTCCCCCGTCCCGGG